GATGATCGTGGCCCTGGCCCCACAGGGAGCTCCACCCACGCCTCATTTCGGCACAGCCCTCTCGAGGATCGCGGCCCTGGCCGCACAGGGAGCTCCACCGAAGCTTCATTTCGGCACACCCCTCTCGAGGACCGTGGCCCTGGCCCCACTGGGAGCTCCACCGAAGCAGCAACACCCCTCTCGAGGGTCGTGGCCCTGACCCCACAGGGATGCCCACCGAAGCTTCATTTCGGCACACCCCTCAAGGATGATCGTGGCCCTGGCCCCACACGGAGCCCCACCGAAGCATCATTTCGGCACACGTCTCTCGAGGATCGTGGCCTTGGCCCCACACGGAGCCCCACCGAAGCATCATTTCGGCACACGTCTCTCGAGGATCGTGGCCCTGGCCCCACAGGGAGCTCTTTTCGTTCCCGTGCCGGCCAAGCTTCTAACACGCCTTTGCCGTGCAGGAGGCACGGCGGCGGGTGACGGGAAGCGCCTCCGGCGTGCACCGTTGGTCCTGGAGCTTAATTTTCTCTAACTAAGGGGTACGGATTGCACTTGGAAGGTCGCTGGCGGATGACGGGAAGCGCCCCTGGCGTGGACCGTTTGTTGGTGGTAGAAAGAAATGATGGGGCACGGGGCGCACTTGGAAACTGCGCTGGCGGATGACGGGAAGCGTCTTCGAGGAACGAGAAGCGAGCTGGACGTTTTGGCTGAATCCTCCTCATATCAGTAAGAGATCTCTTAACTATAGGGGGTGGCGGGGCGCACGGTATACAGGCTTAGCGGATTCCTCGGGATGGCGATTTTACGTGAGACATCCTCACAAAAATGAGATCTTCGCGACATCGCGTTTCACAAAAACAAGCGTTTCGCTAGAGACATCCTCCAAAAGTTGATGACAGCGAAATTTCGCCGTCTGTGAACATTTGCGTTTCGCTTGGGACATCCTCGAAAAAATGAGATGACGACTGAAGTCTTTAACTAACTCTTATGTTAAGAATTGCGATTTCGCTAGGGACATCCTCAGAAAACGAGCGGCAGCACGGCGGACCAGCACGAAGAGCACGGCAGAAAATTTGCATTTCGCTAGGGGACATCCTCAACAAAATGAGATGCCCTCAACGTCGTCTTGATATCGTTCTCGAAGTACCTCAAGATGACGAAATGAGAGGCCAAAAAGCACGTCAAGATGGCTGTCAGAACGATTGGGGGACTTCCGAAAATAGCGATTTCGCTAGGGACATCTTCAAACATTGAAAACATACACCAGCATCGTATTGAAAACTGTTGTTCTTATATAGTTTTGACTTTGCTTCTGAAAAGGCTTCCAGACGGCCCAAGGCAGCCTTCAAAAAATGTCGATTTCGGCAGGGACATCCTCAAACAATTGATGCGTGCGACATCGCATGGTAATGATTTTAGGAGGGCATCAGGAAGCAAAAGGAGGCCACAACATGGCTCCAATAGCGGCCGTAAGGTTGCTGAAAATAGTGATTTCGCCAGGGACATCTTCTAAAAAACAACAAATTGAACAACATCGTTTTAACAACTGCTGTTTTCACATCGTCTTTGGATCGCTCCTGAAAAGGTTTCTAGATGGTTTAAGCTAGTGATCTAAAAATGACGATTTCGCTAGGGACATCCTGAAACAATGAATGTGTGTAACATCGGACTGTAACGGTTTTGTAAGGCATCAAGAAGGGCCCCAAAGGCTCCAAACAAGCCCACATTTGACCCTCAGGAGCGCCCTCGAGACGATCCAAAATGGCGATTTCGTCTGAGACATCCTTACAACAATGAAATGTTCACAACATCGATTTTATCAAACATGAGCGTTTCTCCTGAGACATCCCTTAAACATGGGAAGCCGCGAATTCGACAGCTGTTCAAAAACGGGTGTCTCGCCTGAGACATGTTATCAAAAATGATATCTTGGAGTGGCGTTGTTACTACCTCTCGTGTTAAGAATCGCGCTCTCGCTGCATACATCCTCAAACAAATCGGGCGGGGCATGGCCGGCGAAAAAAGAGCAAGGCAGAGAATGAGCAGTTCTGCCGTGCTCCTTCGCTCTTGACGTCTATTTTGCCGTGCTCTTTCGTTCCTGGGGTCTATTCTGAAATGCTCCTTGTTTTTTTTTGTGCCGTGCTCCTTCGCTCTTCGGGCCTATTCTGCCATGCTCCTGGCCATTTTCTGTCACAATCCTTTGTTCTTGGGGCTTATGATGCCGTGCTCCTGGTCGTTTTCTGCCGTGCTCCTTAGCTCTTGGGGCATATTCTGCCGTGCTCCTTCGATTTCGGGGTTTGTTATGCCGTGCTCCTTGTCTTTTTCTTGCATACTCCTTCCTTGGGGCGTATTATGCCGTATTCTTGCATCTATCTTGCCGTGCTCCTTAGCTCTTGCGGTCTATTCTGCCATGCTCCTGGTCACTGGTCGAGTTTTGCAATGTTCCTACTTTCCTGGTGCCTATTCTGCCGTGCTCCTCAGCTCTTGGGGTCTATTATGTCGTGCTTCTGTTTTTTTTCTAGCATGTTCCTTCGCTCATGGGGCCTAATTTGCCGTGCTCCTTCGGTCTTGGCGTCTATTCTGCCGTGCTCTTGTTTTGCCGTGGTCCTTTGCGATTGAGGTTCGTATTCCTAGTTACCTAACAGTTTTTGCTGATAGGTTTCTAGTGGTGTCAAAAGAGAGCATCTGGACTCCACAGGGGGGTCTGGGCGGGTGCCGGGGAGGAGGGCCGGGAACAGAGCCGGGCTCGTTTTAAGCCAACAATCGCACACTTCGTGCTCTTCGACTTCCCAGAACTCCACTCCCGGGCCACATTTTGAATAACCGGAACCAACTGTAAGCCACTTCGTGCTCTTCGACTTCCCAGAACTCATTCCCGGGCTACATTTTGGATGCCCGGAGCCAACTGTAGGCCTTTTCGTGCTCTTCGACTTCCCAGAACTCCATTCCCGGGCCACATTTTGGATGCCCGGAGCCAACTGTAGGCCACTTCGTGCTCCTCGAGTTCCCAGAACTCCATTCCCGGGCCACATTTTGAATGCCCGGAGCCAATTGTAGGGCACTTCGTGGTCTTCGAGTTCCCAGAACTCCATTCCTGGGCATGATTTTGAATGCCCGGAGCCAACTGTAGGCCACTTCGTGTTCTTCGAGTTCCCAGAATTTTATTCCCGGGCCACATTTTGAATGCTGAGACAGGCTGAGGCTGAGGCTGAAGCAGGCTGAGGCTGAGGCAGGCTGAAGCTGAGGCCGAGGCTGAAGGCAGACTGAGGCTGAGGCTGAAGCAGGCTGAGGCTGAGGCAGAGGCAGGCTGAGGCTGAGGCAGGCTGAGGCTGAGGCTGAAGGCAGACTGAGGCTGAGGCTGAAGCAGGCTGAGGCTGAGGCTGAGGCTGAGGCTGAGGCTGAGGCAGGCTGATGCTGAGGCAGGCTGAGGCTGAGGCTGAGGCTGCAGGCTGAGGCTGAGCAGACTGAGGCTGAGGCCTAGGCTGAAGGCAGACTGAGGCTTTGGCTGAGCAGCTGAGGCTGAGGCTGAGGCTGAGGCTGAGGCTGAGGCAGGCTGAGGCTGGCTGAGGCTGAGGCTGAGGCAGGCTGATGCTGACAGGCTGAGGCTGAGGCAGGCTGAGGCTGAGGCTGAGGCTGATGCAGGCTGAGGCTGAGGCAGGCTGAGGCGGAGGCCTAGGTTGAAGGCAGACTGAGGCTGAGGCTGAAGCAGGCTGAGGCTGAGGCTGAGGCAGGCTGAGGCTGAGGCTGAGGCTGAGGCTGGCTGATGCTGAGGCAGGCTGAGGCTGAGGCTGAGGCTGATGCAGGCTGAGGCTGAGGCAGGCTGAGGCTGAGGCCAAGGCTGAAGGCAGGCTGAGGCTGAGGCTGAGGCTGAGGCTGCAGGCTGAGGCTGAGGCTGAAGGCATGCTGAGGCTGAGGCTGAGGCTGATGCAGGCTGAGGCTGAGGCAGGCTGAGGCTGAGGCCGAGGCTGAAGGCAGACTGAGGCTGAGGCTGAAGCAGGCTGAGGCTGAGGCTGAGGCTGAGGCAGGCTGAGGCTGAGGCTGAGGCAGGCTGAGGCTGAGGCTGTGACTGCGACTGCCGTTGCCACTGCGACTGTCATCGCGAATGCGACTACGACTGCGAGAACAGCAGAATTCTACAACTGGATTTTCATCCGAATCTTAAGGGGAATGCTTCCAGATATGCTCCTACACATCGCTGTTAGGTTGCGTTGCCGGGATATTGTTTTTGCCGTGCTCTTTAGCTCTTGGAATTGATTTTGCCGAAAATAGAGGGGCACGGCAGAACGCGCAAGAAAACTGCAAAACAGACAGAACACACGGGAACGCGGCAAAACACAGGAGCACGGCAGCACACGCAGGAGCATGGCAGAACACGTAGGAGCATCCGTAGCCATTTTGGCTCAAGGCCATGGAACACCCGACGACCGCGAGTCGTCCGCGGCGTTCCGAGCGCGAGGGGCCCCTCGCTTTGGGCCAGTGCACTCTGTTGTTCTGCTCCAGGCTTTCGCAGCGCGGAGGCGCGACCTGTCGGCCCGCGCGCCTGGGGCCATGGCGCGCTCCTCGCGTGGCGGCAGCAGTTGCAAGCGCAGCAGGCCGTACTGGACGTGCAGCTGCGGAGGTTGGGACTGGGACTGGCGATCTTCTTGCGCCAGCTGTGGGCATGCAGCGCCGCCCTGGGCTCTGGGGTCGGCCCCCGCCGCGGGGAAGCCCAGGGCCGACAAGGACGGTTGGGTGGACCAGCCGAGGGGGCGCAAAGCCCAGCGGCAGGCCCGCAGCGCTCCCTCGCGAGCGGCATTTGCCAAGTCGCAGACCTCGGCTTCTGCGGCCAGTGGGGCGCCGAGTGGCGGCGGAGTCACGGCTACCGAGAGGCTGCAGGCGACGGTCGAGCAGCTGGAGGCGCTGCTGGCTGGGCCGCCCGAGGGCGTGGACGGCAGCTTCACCAGCGTCGTGGCCAGCCAGCTGGAGTCGAAGCGGGCAGAGCTGGCCAGGGCCCAGCAGGCAGCAGCGGAGCAGAAGGCCGCCACCACGCCGCGGTCGACGCTGCTGCACAAGGAGGCCAACGCCATCAGCAAGGCGGAGAAGCGGCCCCGCGCAGCCCGCCAGGACCTGGAGCAGAAGCAGGTGGCGCGCGACCTCGCGGGGGGCCAGCTCCAGAAGGCCCAGGAGGGGCTCGCGGGGCGGGACTGCGCGCTGGAGGAGGCCAGCAGGGCGCTCCAGGTCCTCGAGGAAGCCGCCCGTGAGGAAGCGGAGGCGCGGGAGCGCCAGCGGGCCGCTGAGTGGGCAGGGGCCAGCCAGGTCCCAGGGCTCCTCACGCAGCTGGGCAAGCTGCCAGAGGCCTGGGCCTCCAGCAACTTCGAGGTCGCACTGGCAGCCATCCGCGCCCAGATGGAGGCGGTGCGAGCGCAGCTTGCTGGGGCCCCCCCCCCCCCCCCTGGCCCCCGCGCAAGCACCGCGGGCAGAGTCCTGCCCCATGGGCGAGATCAGCAGCGACGACGGCAACGACGGCAACCTCGCAGGCAGCAGCGGCCCCTGGCAGCCCCAGGCCGCAGCGGAGCGCGGCCACGCCGAGCGGTATGGCAACGCGCTTGGCGAGTGGCCGCTGGTGGCTCAGGCCTGCAAGCGGGAGCTGGCAGCCGAGGTTGCGGACCTGGCCCCTGTGGCTGCTCGCCCTGCTGGCCGCGCAGCTGGGGGCAGAGGCGGAGGGGGCCCGCCAGGGCAGGAGAAGGCCCTGCAAGGCCAGCGCTGCGGGGCCACGCCAGCTTGGCGGTAGCAGCGCCGAGGTGGCCCGCCCGCAGGGCGCCCTGGGGCCCAAAGCCGTCAACCTCTGTATCTTCGCCGCCTTCGGCAACGCTGAGCTCTCCGCTGGCATGCCCTGGCTGACGCAGGGCGACTTCAACATGGGGCCAGGCACGCTGCACGAGTTGGGATGGCCCAGAGTGCAGCGAGGCACGCACCTGGGGCCCGAGTGCACGTGCGCAGGCCAAGGGGCCGAGCATGTGTACGACTGGTTTGCGAGCTCCTTCGGTCGGGCCCAGGGGGTCGGTGAGGCCGCAGCGCTGGATGGCTTTGGGCCTCACCCCCACAAGCCTGCGAGGCTGCTGCTGCAGGACGCGAGACCAGATGCCTTGGCGCAGGTGCTCGTCCGCCCAGGTCGTTTTCCTGATGAAGAAGCCTCAGCTCGCCTTCCCCGCGAAGATGGTGCTGTCCAAGTGCTCAGCCGCGTGGAGCGCACTCGCGGGCAGGTGGGGCCCTGCCGTTGGTCCTGGGAGGCGGGCTCCCACCCGAGCGCCCCCCGTGAGGCAGCTCGCCAGTGGATCCAGGTAGTCGAGAGCACCTTCGTGAGGATCCACGGCATTGACGTCGGCGGCCTACGCAGGTACCTGGGACGGGCCGAGGGGCCCATGGCTGTCCTCAAGCCCCTCAGCGCGGTGGTCAAGCACGAGTACCGCCACAGACACTCGGCCCTCACCCACGCCATGTGCTAGGCCCTCGTTGGAGCGCTGCAGAGGCTCACAGCTGACAGGGGGCGGCGCTGGCAGCCCTCGTACGAGGCTCGGTATGTTCGGCAGGTGGCGTTTTTCCTGGCCGATGTGGAGGCAGCCTCCACAGCAGCCTGCGAGGAGGACGAGGTCGGGGCCCTCGAGTTCGGCACTAGCGAGTGGAGCGACCTCATTGGCCAAGCGGGCGTGCTTGAGCATCCCGAGGCAACGGCAGCGATGACGGGCCTGCTGCAGTCAGCCGCGCTGCCTCGCAGGATATGTGCTGGGGGGCTGGAGGCTGCAGCAGCCAGGCGAGCTAGTGCCGCCGCAGAGGGGCGCAATGCCTCGCCCACCGTCGCAGCGGTGCGGACCCTGGTGCGTTTCGGCTGGTACCCCGAGCCGGAGCGGCGCAAAGTCGCGGACCCCGGTGGCGAGCTCGAGCCCATGCTCCTCGGGCCTCAGGCGCTGAGCATAGAGGATGTGTATGATGCTCGGCAGGCCTCCAACCACCATGAGAGGCGGAAGCTCAGCAGCGACCCCCTCTTGCTTCGGCCGATGCTCGGGAATGCCATCGGGCGGCTGCTCGGGCCAGGTATCGAGCTGGGCGTGAGGGAGCAGCACGTGCGTGGTGCCCACTTCTCCAACACGCACTGGACGATGCGCATCTGCAGGATTCGCAGGCCAGCTGACAGCAGGCTCAACGGCAAGCTGTACATCGATGGCTCGGCCAAGGATAGCGAAGGGCCCCCATCCTGCAGGCGAGCAGCGCCAGGCGCAGGCCGCTACAGCCGAGGAGCTTCCGTTGGCTAGAGCGGCCCTCGGCGTCGGCGCTCCCACCAATCGGCCATGCCTGCAGAGCAGCCGCTCGACGGGGAGCAGCACGACCGCCATCTCGGCCGCTGCTGTCGCCTTCAGCATCCTGGGGCACGCGCTCTGCTACGCCTGCGCGGGAGCAAGCGAAGACGCCCAGGAGATCGTGGCCTGCTCCAGGCGCGGGGCCTACAAGGTGCTGGGTAGCCACGCAGGAGCCAAGCCTCGCCTGAAGGAACGGTGCCCAGGCGACAAGACGAGCAAGGCAGGCAGGAACCAGCGCAGCCGGTGGGAGCGAGGGCTCCATCCTGGAGACAGGCCGCGAGCGGATAAGCTGAGAGCGAAGGGAGAGGGCATCCCCGCTCTGCGCTCGCAAGGGCCAGTGCCAGGGCACGTCCAGGAGCGCTACCTGGAGCGGCTAGGCATTGAGGCGGAGTCTGCAGGTGGTGCCTCGGCTGCAGCCAGCAGCTCAGGCGGCGGCCCAACTGCTCCCGCGGCGGCGCAGGCGGCGGAGCTGGCGGCTGCCAGCCTGCCCCTGCAGCAGCCAGCCTCGGAGAGGGCTGAGCGTCTCGGCGCGCACGGGGACACCGAGGAGGGGTCCGCCGCCGCGAACTACACGGCGATCGGCGGACAGGGGGGCCGCAGGGTCAGCCGCCGTCTGGCGCGCCGCGGCCCGCCGTCTGAGAGTGAGTGAAGAATAAGCATCGTTTCGCTCACGTGTGTTGCTCCCTGTGGCGAGTAGGCACGCGTGGCACGCTCTGCTTTGGACTCGGCTTCTTTCGGGAGCAGTTGTCCCGTCTGGCCCTGTCCGCGTTCTGTTTGTTTTCCCCTTGCGCCTTGAAGGCCCCGTCTTTAACTTTAATTTTAACAGGTAGGAGCATGGCAGAACACACAAGAGCGCGGCATAATGCACAGGAGCACACCCGTAGCCATTTCGGCTCAAGGCCATGGAGAACCCGACGACCGCGAGTCGTTCGCGGCGCTCTGAGCGCGAGGTTCTCCGCGCTTTGGGCCAGTGCAATTCGTGTGTGTGTGTGTGTGTGTGTGTGTGTGTGTGTGTGTGTGTGTGTGTGTGTGTGTGTGTGTGTGTGTGTGTGTGTGTGTGTGTGTGTGTGTGTGTGTGTGTGTGTGTGTGCGTGCTCCCTGCTTTCACCGCGCGGAGGCGCAGCCCCGCGGCCTGCGCGGCAGTGGCCATGGCGAGGTCCCCGTGCAGTGGCGGCAGCGGCAGGCGCAGCAAGTCCTACTGGATGTGCAGCTGCGGCAAGTGGAATTGGGACTGGCGCACCCCTTGCCTGGGGCTGCGGGCATGCGGCCCCGCCATGGGCGACTGGGGCGCCCCCGCCCAAGGCGAGGCCCAAGGCAGACAAGGACGGCTGGGTGGGTCAGCCACGTGGGCGCCGTGCCCAGAGGCAGGCCCGCGGAGCGGCCACGCGGGCGGCATCCACCAAGTCGCAGACCTCGGCCTCGGCAGCGAGTGGGGCGCCCAGCGGTGGAGGCACCACGGCGATCGAGAGGCCCCAGGCGGCCGTCGAGCAGCTCGAGGCGCTGCAAGCAGAGCCCCCAGACAGAGCGGATGGGTGCTTCACCGACGTCGTGGCCAGCCAGCTGGAGGTAAAGCGCGCGGAGCTGGTCAAGGCCCAAAAGGCTGCAGCGGAGCAGAAGGCCTCGTCCCTGCCACGGGCGATGCGGCTCCACAGGGAGGCGAACGCCATCAGCAAGGGCGAGAAGCGGCTCCGGGCAGCCCGCATGGAGCTTGAGCAGAAGCAGGAGGCGCGCGACATCGTCGAGGCCCAGCCCCACCTGGCCCAGGAGAAACTCGCGGAGCTCGACGAGCAGGTGGAGGAGGCGAGCCTGGCGCCCCAGGCGCTCGAGGAAACAGCCCGCGAGGAAGCCGAGGCGATGCGCCGCCAGCGCGCAGCCGAGTGGACAGGAGCCAGCCAGTTACCAGGACTCCTCATGCAGCTGGAGAAGTTGCCAGAGGCGTGGAGCACCAGCAACTTCGAGGTGGCCTGGGCGGCTATACGCGCCCAGATGGAGGCAGTGCGGGCGCAGCTCGAGGGGGCACCATTGGCCTCCAAGCGCGCGCCGTGGGCCGAGGCCTGCCCCATGGAGGAGATCAGCGGCAACGTTGGCGGTCTCGCAGACTGCGGCGGCGTCTGGCAGCCCCAGCCAGCAGCGGAGCGAGGCCAAGCCGAGCGGTGCGGCAAGGCGCTGGGCGAGTGGCCCACGGTGGCCCAGTCGTGCAAGCGGGAGCTGGCGGCAGAGGCAGCGGACCTGGCTCCCCTGGCTGCTCATCCTGCTGGCAAGGCCGCTGGGAACCGCCTCGGCGGGGCACAGCCAGGGCCAGCGAGTGCATAGCGAGGCCTGCGCGGCGGTCCTGTGCCTACATGGGAACGGCGCCGAGGTCGTCGAGAGCGGCTGGGCGGGGCTCCGCGGCATGGGCGTCCTCGTCCCGCCCTGGGACCAGGAACGCGCTGCAGGGCCCAGCGGTGTCCGCATCCTCCTGAGCTCTGGAGAGAACGTAGTTGGGGGCATCGAGTTCGGCGCTAGCGAGTGGATCGAGCACGTGGGCAGAGCAGGGGTACCTGAGCCTCCTGAGGCGATGTCCAGGAGTGCGAGTCCACCGCTGCCTACCGTGCCGCCACTCAGGGCGCGAGCGCAGAGACGTGGAGGGGCGGCTGCCAGCGGCGGGGAAGCCGCCACGGGCGTGAGCCATACCTCGGCCGTCTGCGACGAGGTGCAGGCCCAGTGGGTCGGCAACAGGCACCTCGAGTCGGAGAGGTACACGGTCATGGACCTCGGCGGCACGTCCAACTCCATGTTCCTCGAGCCGCGGCCGTGGCCAGGAGCCGAGGAGAACGCGACGCAGTGGCGAGCGCGAGGTGGAGGTGACGGCGAACGCGACAGCGAGCAGTACGTCATTGGCTGGGCCGTGCGCAGCGGAGGGCTCCTGCCTGCCGAGTCGAACCACCTGGTGACTTCAGCGGCGGCATCGGAGGCCCTGCGGGCTGGGGAGGTCCGCGGCGGCGGCGCTCCAGCTGTGCGGGCCCGCCTGGAAGACAGCCGCTCGACGGGGGGCAGCGCGGCAGCCCTCTCGGCCACCGCCGTCGCGTTCAGCGTCCTGGGGCACGTGCTCAGCTACGCCTGCGTGGGCGAAGGAGAGGATGCCCAGGAGATCGTGGCGTGCACCAAGTGCGGCGCCTACAAGATGCTGGGCGGACACGCAGGAGGCAGGTCTCGCCTGAAGATGCAGTGCCCAGGGCCCAGCAATCTGACGAACAAGCCGAGAGACCAGCGCAGCCCGCGGGAGCGAGGGCTCCACCCTGGTGGCAGGCCGCGGGGGGACAGGCAGAGGGCGAGAGCAGAGGGCATCCCTGCCTTGCGCCCGCAAGGACCAGTGCCAGGTCACGCCCACGAGCGTTACCTGGAGTGGATCGGCATTGAGGCGGAGCCGACTGGCGGAGCCTCCACCGCTGCCAGCAGCTCGGGCAGTGGCCCAGCGGCTCCAGCGGCAGGGCGGTATGTATTTGAGTCGGCAGCGGCCAGCCTGCCCCAGCAGCGGCCAGGGCCGAGCGCTGGGCCCCTTGGCGCAGGCGGCGCCTACGTAGGGGAGCCCGCTGCCGCGGAGCCAGCGCCCAGCGACGGACTGGTGGGCCGTAGGGTCTGCCGCCGCCTGGCACGCCGCGGCTCGGAGTCGTCTGGGAGTGATTGAAGACCCTCCCGCTGTCTGCCCGCGTCTATTGCTCCTGTGCGAGTAGGCACGCGGGGCTCGCTTGCTTGGGACTCGGCGTCTCTCGGGAGCTTTGTTCCCGCCTGGCCCTGTCCCCGTTTTCCTTCGTCGCCGTTAAGACCCCGACTATAATTATATAATTATAATGCACAGGAGCACGACAGAACACACAGGAACACGGCAGGCCACGCAGGAGCACGGCAGAACACACAGGAAGATTGCATATTTCGTTTCACATGCTTGGTGGACGAAGCGACTCTTCTCAAGGAATGAGCTGGAATAAAGCATTGAAGATCGTCCTAGATGGCCTATTCTGCCGTGCTCTTGGTTTTTTCGATCCTGCTCCTTCGCTCCTGGGGCCTATTCTGCCGTGCTCCTTCGCTCTTGGGGCTATTCTGCCGTGCTCTGTGTCTTCTTCTGCCATGGTCCTTTGCTCTTGGGTTCCGTATTCCTGGTCCTTCTCTGCCGTGCTCTTTAGCCCTTGGGGTTGATTTTGCCGAACATAGAGGGGCACGGCAGAACACGCAGGAGCACGGCAAAACAGACACAGCACACAGGAACACGGCAGAACACACATGAGCACGACTGCGCACGCAGGAGCGCTGGGGACATCCTCAACAAATGAGATGTTCGCAACATCGCCTCGACATCGTTTTCGGAGTGCTTCAAGACGAAGAGATGAGAGCCCCCAAAGGAGCCCAAGATGGTTCCAACAGCGCCCTGGAGTCTGCCGAAAATGACGAGTTATCTAGTCTTTATGCAATGTTCTTGGTCTTTTTCTGGTTTGCTCCTTCGCTCTTGGGGCCTATTCTGCAGTGCTTCTATGCTCTTGGGGTCTATTCTACCGTGCTCCTGGTCTTTTTCTGCCGTGCTCCTTCGCTCTTGGGGCTTATTCTGGTCATTTTCTGCCGTGCTCCTTGGCTTTTGGGGTGTATTCTGCTGTGCTCCTGGCCTTTCTCTGCCGTGCTCCTTCGCACTTGGGGCATATTCATCCCTTCTCTTTAGCTCCTGGGGTCTATTCTGCCGTGTTCCTTGTCTTTTTCTTCCGTGCTCCTTAGCTCTTGGGGCCTATTCTGCCGTGATCCTGGTCTTTTTCTGCCTGCTCCTTTGCTTTTGGGGTCTTTTCTGCCGTACTCTTTTGCTCTTGGGGTCTATTCTGCCGTGTTCCTGGTCTTTTTCTGCCGTGCTCCTTCGCTTTGGGGGTCTATTCTGCCGTACTCCTTTGCTCTTGGGGTCAATTCTGCTGTGCTCCTGGTCTTTTTCTGCCGTGTTCCTTCGCTCTTCGGGCCTATTCTGCCGTGGTTTTGGTCTTTTTCTGCCGTGCGCGCCCAGAAGCTCCGCCAAAACGACCACCGCGACGATCCGCACGGCAGAATACAGGAGCACGGAAGAACACACAGAGCACACAGAGGCACGGCAGAACACAAGCACGGCAGAACAGGAGCACGGCAGAACACACAGGAACACAGCAAAACACACCCCGCACGCACGCCGACACGCGCGCCACGGCATACCTTCGCGGCGTAACAACAACAGAGCATATTCCACATGCTTGGTGGACTAAAGCGACGCTTCCCGTTCTTGTCCGGTCAGGTTTTTGAAGCATGGCCGTTTCGCTCGAGACATCCTCCAAAAATCGGCCCAAGAGGGGACTCCGCATCGACGTCGTGTTCGAATCGCTCTTGGAGGGCT